ACTAAACAATAATTATTTTTCCAGCAGCAGGACTCAATAGTTCTTAAGCATTATAAATATTTATTTAACTAGCACGTGCTTGTTCCACCAACGAATTGCATTGTTATTATTTATAATATTTTACAGAGCATCTTTACTGCTCGTATAAATTCAAGTATAAATTATTGGGAAGGCCTGAACTCCCTTGAACTATATTTCTCGAAACCCAGGAGAAACAGATACATTATAGCTTATATTTGGCAAAATTCTGAAGTGATTAGGTCCAAATTTGCACACCGAAATTGCTCTCTACACATCTTGTTTTCCAATTAAGGTTGCCAATTTCATACGAATTGCCCTTGGTACACTTGATTTTTTTTTTTAATGAAAATTTAAACATTGGTTGTTTTCAGTTAGGTTAGATAAGGTTACGTTTGGTTAGGCGTAGTTAATGTTCATCAAGTTATATTTCTGAATAATTACAGTACAGAAATGAAATTAAAATAAAAAAAGATGAGTATCTTCCTTCTGGCAGCACGGGAAGTATTATGAGATTTTGAACAATTAATTACCTATTTGTATCTGCAAGAACTATACTTGTGGTGTCTCGTCTTCGATATTCTGTTCATAAGAACATAAGAACATAAGAATGGAGGAACACTGCAGAAGGCCTACTGGCCCATACAAGGCAGGTCCTTATCAAAATGACCTCTACCCAAAGTTACCCAAGAATTTACTCCCGTACCCAATGACACAAATCAAACCCAACCCCTCCCACACATATTTATCCAATCGCTTTTTAAAGCTGCCCAAAGTCCTAGTCTCAATCACCCCACTGGGAAGATTGTTCCACGCATCCACAACTCTGTTAGAAAACCAGTACTTACCTATGTCCTTTCTGAATCTAAATTAATCCAACTTTAATCTATTATTCCTGGTTCTTACCTGGTTTGACACCCTCAGTACTTCATTAATATCTCCTTTGTTTATGCCCGTCATCCACTTATACACTTCAGTGTCTCCCTCATTCTACGTCTCTCCAAAGAGTGGAGATTTAAGCTTTAAGTCTATCTTCATACGGGAGATTCCTTACACAGTAAATCATTTTAGTCATTCTTCTCTGTATGTTCTCCAATGAGTCTATATCCATCTTGTAGTAAGGAGACCAAAACTGAGCACCATAATCTAGATGAGGCCTCACTAGTGATGTATAGAGCTGTAAAATAACTTTTGGACTTCTGTTACTTATACTTCTTGAGATAAATCCAAGTAATCTGTTAGCCTTGTTGTGCACACTAAGGCACTGCTGTCTTGGCTTTAGATTTCTGCTTACCATGACTCCCAAGTCTTTTTCACATTCTGTATGATCAAGTTCTACTTCACCTAGTTTATAGCTTCGAGGGTTATTTTCATTATCAAGGACTAGCACCTTACACTTATCCACACTGAACTTCATCTGCCATTTTTCAGACCAAAACATTAATTTGTCCAAATCCCCCTGGAGTTCATTGCTATCCTCCTCAGAATGAATCATACGGCCTATATTTGTATCATCAGCAAATTTGCTCAAGTCACTCGTAATCTCTTTATCAAGGTCATTAAATTATGAACAAGAGAGGGTCTAAAACTGATCCTCGTGGAGCGCCACTAGTGACTAATCCCCATTCAGATTTGACCCCATTAATGGAAACTCTCTGCTATCTGTTGGTAAGCCATGCCTCTATCCATGCTAAAACTTTACCTCCTATACCATGAGCTGCCACTTTTCTTAAGAGTCTCTTGTGAGGTACTCTATCGAAGGCTTTACTAAAATCCAGATAAACAATATTATATTCTTTATCGCTATCTACTGCCTCAAATGTTCTATTGAAGAACGTCAGTAAATTTGTCAGGTAGGAACGACCTCTCGTGAACCCATGCTGAGATTCATTAATCAAATTATGCTCATATATATATATATATAATATATATATATATATAATATATATATATATATATATATATATATATTATATTATATATATATATATTTTAAATTTCCAATGGTAGCAGCACTTATTAATTCCTCCTTTTATGCATTTGACTGGTCAACCACTCTATCACTCCACTCTATGGAAATAAGTCACTGACTTTTTGAGTTATCCTAGATTATCTACACATATGTTACTATGTATTACAATCTTTGTAACTGTATTTGTGTATACCTGAATAAACTTACTTATCTGAGAAGAATTACTTTCTACTATCCTTTTCACTCCACTTTTTCCTCAATTTGAAACTATGGTCTCTTGTTATTCCTGTTGCAAATACTAAGAAATCTTCGTTTAATCTTTCAAGGCCTTTTATGTGATAATCATGTCTCTCCGCCGCCCATCAGCCAAGAGGGGCACCTCTTTTTTTTTTTCTTTTGCGCAAATCAGTTTTACAGGCTAAGAGCTGTTATCCTACTTCAGCTTATTCTTAAGCCCAGCTCTATCAGGCCCTAGATAGAGCTGGTAGTATACTCTAGATTCTAGGGCACACTACCAACTGGTATACCCTAGATTCTAGGGTATACTACCGTCTGGTATACCCTAGATTCTAGGGTATGCTACTTGTATACAGGTAGTATACCCTAGAATATATATATATATATATATATATATATATATATATATATATATATATATGTGTGTGTGTGTGTGTGTGTGTGTGTGTGTGTGTGTGTGTGTGTGTGTGTGTGTGTGTGTGTGTGTGTGTGTGTGTGTGTGTATTAATTATACATTTATTACAGTGACAATAGGAAACCATTATATGATTAAAAACACTTGACTTTTTTGGTTATCGTAGGCAATTTACACATATATTACTATGTAAGACAACTGTATTCATCCAAACTTTGTGTAATTATGATGATGTTATTATTATTATTATAATCAAGGGGGAAGCGCTAAACCCAGAGGATTATACAGCGCCTGGGGGGGGATGTGGAAGGCATTCAGGCTTAATTTGGGAAACTGGAGCACAGATAAGATAAGATAAGATAAGATAAGATAAGATTTCGTTCGGATTTTTAACCCCGGAGGGTTAGCCACCCAGGATAACCCAAGAAAGTCAGTGCGTCATCGAGGACTGTCTAACTTATTTCCATTGGGGTCCTTAATCTTGTCCCCCAGGATGCGACCCACACCAGTCGACTAACCCCCAGGAACCTATTTGCTGCTAGGTGAACAGGACAACATGTGTAAGGAAACGTGTCGAAATGTTTCCACCCTCCGGGAATCGAACCCGGGCCCTCCGTGTGTGAAGCGGGAGCTTTTTAGCCACCAGGCCACCGGGCCTGGTGGCTAAAACAAATCAAGGAACCTTCCTTGAGGGGATTATAATGATGTGAAATTGTACCTCAACTTCTATTACGTAATTCAATCGAACATGCTGTCATATTTCCATTATCCGCTTCGTCACGTTCGGCTCTGGTTTAGGCTTTAATATAATTTACTAATGGATAATTGAATGTAATGAACACTTGTCACTGCTCAGTAATAACCTACATGGAGACAAAACCTTAGATGAGTAATTGATCTCTATATTTCGATCCCCTTCTGGGATCCTCTTCAGCTAGAGAGGATCGCAGAAGAGCTATATTACTGATCATATTTACTCATATTAGGAAGGGTCTATATAGATAAGAGTAAGGTGACGAGAGTATCATGTGAGTTAGTTAAGGAAAAATTAGATATCAGATTAGACTAGAGGGAAGGAGTATGGAAGAAATAAATATGTTCTGATATTTGGGAGTGGACGTGTCAGCGAATGAGTACATGAAAGACGAGGTAAATCATAGAACTGATGAAGGGAAAAGGTGGATGGTGCATTGAGATAACTGTGGAGGCAAAGAACATTATCCATGGAGGCAAAGAAGGAAATGTATGAGAATATAGTGGTACCAATACTTATATGGGTGTGAAGCATGGGTTGTGAATGTTGCAGCGAGGAGGAGGCTGGAGGCAGTGTCGTGCCTGAGGGCAATGTGTGGTGTAAATATTATGCAGAAAATTCGAGTTTGGAGATTAGGAGGAGGTACTGAGTTACTAAAAGTATTATTCAGAGGGCTGAGAAAGGGTTGTTGAGGTGGTTTAGTCATTTAGAAAGATGGAGAAAAATAGGATGATTTGAAGGATATATAAATCTGTAGAGGAGGGAAGTTGAAGTAGGGGTCGTCCTAGGAAAGGATGGAGGGGGTAAAGGGAGTTTTGTGTGCAAAGGGCTTGGACATACAGCAGATATGTGTGAATGTGTTAGACAGGAATGGACACAAATGTTTTTTGGGACTTGACGAGCTGTTGGAGTGTGATCAAGGTAATATTTTGTGAAGGGATTCAGGGAAACCTATTAGCCGGACTTGAGTCTTGGAGGTTGAAATTATAGTGCCTACACTGTAAAAGGAGTTTGGGATATTTGCTGTTTAGAGGGGCATCTAAACTGTCGTATGTGTGCCTCTGTCAAGACAGTGATAATGTGAATCATAGTAAGTTTATTCAGGTATACACAAATGCAGTTACACAGATTATCATACATAGCAGCATATGTGTGTGGAGAAAGTGTTTCTTATATATATATATAATATATATATAATATATCTATATATATATATATATATATATATATAATATATATATATATATATATATAATATATATATATATATATATTATATAATATATATATATATATATATATATATATATATATATATATATATATATATATATATATATATACATATATATACACATGTATATATTGTGTGTATATGTATATATTCCCTGACTAACAAAGTAATTTTATAAAAGCCTAAACCAGAGACGAACGGGACGAAGCGGATAATGGAAATATGACAACGTGTTCGACTGAATAATACAATATAAACAAACTGAAGAGAAAATATTAATAATAACCGAGTCACGCAATTGTTTCATATTTTTACTGCGATAAATATAACATATATAATAATGTAGAAGGCAGGTATATGTAAATGTGAGGTGTAACTCAGTACACGCTGCTGACCCTGCCAGGTGGGGTGGTGTTATCATCCTTCCCTCCTTTATATTTTGATGAAAATATCGTAAGTAAAGCCTCTTGCGTACATTTTATGACATAAACTTGACTTGTTTGATTATGAAGAGCAATACAGGTGGAAAATGTCTTTTGTTACAAGCTTAGTACGAGAATGCTGCCTGCTCATATGTTTTGATTCTTGGCCAGGATGTGATATTTTAGGCATGTTGTAGTTAGTTTCTAGTCAGCAGTAATGCTTATGAAGATGTTTAACGTCGAAGACGATTGTAATTTAAGATTTTTAGCCAAGAGAGATGTTATGCCAGAGGAGCTGTGGGTTCAACATGCTGATTTTTCATTTTTTTAGCTTACACGTAAATATAACTCATTTTACCTTATTTCTAGTATATCTCCTTTATAGTATAATAATAGGGTATTAAAAGGACTCCAATGGAAATAAGTCACTGACTTTTTTTTGGTTATCCTAGGTTCTGTACACATATGCTGCTATGTATGATAATCTATGTAACTATTTGTGTATAACTGAATAAACTTACATCACACAGTTCAGCCTCGGTAATGCTCTTAATGTAAATGATTTAGAAAAACGACAGATTGAAGAATAAGACATTTGTGCAACATTTGGGAATCTTTATTACGGAAATGTTTCGCCAGCCAGAAGCTGCTTCAGTCCAATTCAGTGAATGGTGGAAGACGAGGGAGAGTTTGAAGTAATCAGTCCCTCACTCTGGAGTTAATGTGTTCAGTTCACCAATCGATAAAATATGTCAAATAGGTTATTTTGAGCTACTAACTGAATACAATATCTCGAAGTTTGTTCATGGGTTCCACTTTCTTGGTCCCTTCAAGGATGGAGGTGCTTTGGTGCTGGTGAAGAGTTCTTAATCCAGGGAGTTGGATCTACATTCCACTTCTGGATCAAACCCTAATAGCACCCGTTCCCCATTCACTGTTTATCCTCCACAGGTTCAGCATTTCCCATAAAAGTAATGATAATTGTCTACTGTTTTATTGTTTACCTGGAGTTTACCTGGAGAGAGTTCCGGGGGTCAACGCCCCCGCGGCCCGGTCTGTGACCAGGCCTCCTGGTGGATCAGAGCCTGATCAACCAGGCTGTTGCTGCTGGCTGCACGCAAACCAACGTACGAGCCACAGCCCGGCTGGTCAGGAACCGACTTTAGGTGCTTGTCCAGTGCCAGCTTGAAGACTGCCAGGGGTCTGTTGGTAATCCCCCCTATGTATGCTGGGAGGCAGTTGAACAGTCTCGGGCCCCTGACACTTATTGTATGGTCTCTTAACGTGCTAGTGACACCCCTGCTTTTCATTGGGGGGATGTTGCATCGTCTGCCAAGTCTTTTGCTTTCGTAGTGAGTGATTTTCGTGTGCAAGTTCGGTACTAGTCCCTCTAGGATTTTCCAGGTGTATATAATCATGTATCTCTCCCGCCTGCGTTCCAGGGAATACAGGTTCAGGAACCTCAAGCGCTCCCAGTAATTGAGGTGTTTTATCTCTGCTATGCGCGCCGTGAAGGTTCTCTGTACATTTTCTAGGTCAGCAATTTCACCTGCCTTGAAAGGTGCTGTTAGTGTGCAGCAATATTCCAGCCTAGATAGAACAAGTGACCTGAAGAGTGTCATCATGGGCTTGGCCTCCCTAGTTTTGAAGGTTCTCATTATCCATCCTGTCATTTTTCTAGCAGATGCAATTGTAGTTTTAGAGCTGAAATTTTACCTAATTTCATTGTCATAGCTTTTATCTCAATTTCCTGATGGGCAGAAATTTCTTTGGTGTATAAATAACTTTATAAGGCTGTACAAAACTGTTAGAGAAACAAAAAATGATTTGTTTATTTACTTAGTTAAGATTTATTCCATACAAAGATATTACGGGTAAATTTTATTTAAAGAAAATTTTTAATTTTGAATAATTATACTGAAGTTTTGATATAATCTAGTATATTTCTACAATTACTCAACTGGAATTAAATTTGAAAAAATTATGTTTAGTGAAAAATATAGGTTACTTTTTGGCTAAGTAAGTTTAAAAAAATTATATATAATAAGAAATATAGGTTACTTTATGGCTAAGTATAGTAATTTTAATTCAGGATTAAACATTTTTATATAAAAGATTTTTTTTTTAAGTTTGAATTCTACACACAGGCTAATTAGCATTGTAGGCAAGAGAATAAACTCAATGCAACTACACATAGTGTGACACACTTGTAATGCAATTAAAAAAACAGCCAAGCCCTGTAAAGCATTGAAGAGTCAGCTTATGAATGTTTCCACTGGGTTAAGCACCCCTCCCTCCCCATTAAAAATAACAAAATGGAACATAACCCTATATCTTCCATATGTTCTTCATGTCATGCTATACAGACCTCACAAAGAAATGCAACCCATGGGGAATGCATATATTATTGTAAATTAATGCTTTTCTTCTGTTTTAATGTTCACTAAGTACAGGAATAGTGTTCAGTATTACAGGATTTTAATTTTTTTAATAAGCACTGTGTATTCAAATCTTCCTCCTATACTGGAAGTGTTAAGAGTCAATATTAAGCATACAGTAAACAGCATATCAAAAGAGACATCAAAAAAGTGTCAAATAACATGATTTGTCATATATGAAAAACTTATTGGCCAACACATTCAACAACTTTTGTTATTTACTCATTTGCTTGTATTTTCTATTGGATGCATCTTTTTTTAATACTGTACCTTGTACCATATTACATTACATGCCGATTTTCAGGAACATAAACCCCTACATTGTGTGATGATTAACTGTAACTCTTTATATTCTTATATCATTTATTGGTCAGTTGCATCGAGAATTTTGGTAAAGGTCATGGCTGAAAGGGTAGTACCTTCTGCTCGCATCTGAAGAACCCAGGTTTGATCCTGGACAAGTAAAAATGCTGGGCGTGTTTCCTTATGCCTGTTCACGTAGCAGTAAGTAGATACTGTACCTCAGTGTAAGCCAGTTGTTGTGCATTGTATCCTGGGGATGAGGATCAAAGGGCCCTAATGGAAATATGCCATACTTTCATGGGTTATCCAAGATTACTAACTCTCTAGATTAATAATCTGAATAAAATCTCCTTAAGGATTTCTTTTTCTGCAGTTTGTTAGTACAGTTTAGCCAGGGCTTAGTAACAAATGTTCTGAAGTATGTATCTGATCTACAGGCATTTAGAGTATATACCTTTTACAGACCCATACAGTATCTGATTTTTCACTCAACATAAATGAGATCACTGGCAGTGTCATTGGTCCATGATGACCAAGTAATGAATTTTCTATAGTCATGCTTGGGCATTTTGCTGTCCTCATCTTGGCTTGTGTTGTTTTTATTTTCGTGAGTTTAGCATTTTTAGTGAATATTATGATGTACAACAGCATTGAACCTAGTCAGAGGAGTAGCCAACTTTTCATAAAATATATTTTTAAACACTGGTTGGTCTTTTTAGGTTTAGTGCTACCTTGTGAATATAGTACAGTGATAGTAATCTACTTGCCTTGTGGTGTTAACCTTTAATTTCAACTGCAGTTAAAGTGAACAATGTTTTGAAAAAGTGGAAATAATAGGAATTTAATTATGCAGCAGTTACTGAATAAGAAAATGCATTTAATTACCTGAAGCCACAAAAATTTTCTGTATGGTAAATAATTCAATAGATCATCTCTGATTTGGCAATAAATCACTGCCTTTTTATATGCTGGAATTCAGTTTTTTATTGCTCAGTAAAGACACACATGTACATGGTGTATTTTCTTCCAGGTGAATATGAAAATGAGTGACAAAGTGTGTTGGACTTCAGAAACTTTAAGAACTTTAGATGATCATTTAAACGAGTACAGTTACATTGAAGGTTATCAGCCGACTGTAAGTGATACTGTTGTGTGTAAGTCACTACACACAGTTACAGAAGACTTATCCTGTTATAAACATTTAAGTAGATGGCTCAGCCACATGAAAAGTTATAAAGACGAGCAATTACATGGAGAGCTCAAAACTGTGAATGATGTATTAGCCACACTGGCACCTCATGCAAAGAAGGTGAGCTATCATGTGAGTACACAAATTGCATGCAGAATTTGAATGTAAAAGTGTTTTTAAAATGTAATACATTGCTGTACAGCATTTTTTTTTTTTTTTGTAGCATGGTATCAGTACTGTAATCTATTAGCATTTGTTACTACAGTAAAATTATGCTAGCTTACAGGTCTCTCTTAACTAAAAAGTATTAAGTTTGTCTAATTAATAATTCATTCTGCTTATCTTATTTTTTTTGCTGTGTTATAAATTTAGCATGTAGTTGTATTGTGCTTCAGTTAACCCAACAGAATAATCAAGCCACCTACATACTCATGCACAGCACAGTTGACTCTCATGTAATATGTGTTCATGTGGGACATTTTCAATAAGACACTAATGAATCTTGTTTTAAAATTATACTTTGGAAATTGGTATAGCACACCATGGCAAAAAATAAGCTTCAGTCCATATTGCATGGCAAATCTGGTTAGAACACACAGCATGGGATACAGTACTGTAGTTTCCTTCAGTGCCACAGTTATGGGAAGGCTTATTGTCACCCTGTGATGCAAGCACCCTTCCATACTCCAGTTGTCTTGTGGATGCTTATACAGTGGACCCCCGGATAATGATATTTTTTCACTCCAGAAGTATGTTCAGGTGCCAGTACTGACCGAATTTGTTCCCATAAGAAATATTGTGAAGTAGATTAGTCCATTTCAGACCCCCAAACATACACGTACAAACGCACTTACATAAATACACTTACATAATTGGTCGCATTCGGAGGTAATCGTTATGCGGGGGCCCACTGTACAGTGGACCCCCGGTTTACGATATTTCATTCCAGAAGTATATTCAGGTGCCATTACTGAACGAATATGTTCCCATAAGGAATATTGTGAATTAGGTTAGTCCATTTCAGACCCCCAAACATTCACGTACAAACACACACAAATACACTTACATAATTGGTCGCATTGGGAGCTAATCGTAAAGCGGGGTTCCACTGTATTTCTTACTGATCTGAACATTATTAAAGCTAGTTAGGATCTTATAACCCCATCTCATATCTGGATATTAAATGTAAATGTAAATGACTGCTTTGGAAATAATCAGACTGTTTTGGCAAATACCTCTGCAACACTGGAAACCTCCACTGTCACGTCTCGGATATCCACTGCTATGGTTACATTACCTACCACCTAATTTTCAGCAGCATTACTCCTGCAGTTCCATTGTCTGGGAGTGATGCAGGGAATACAGTAGACTGAAAGTGGAGAAAGCAGCAGGGAAGAATGGGATTAAGACTGAAATGCTGAAAATGGGTAATGATATTACATAAACCCTCAATTCAATTGACTTCAAAAATATGGGACAAAATCCATTGAGTCAGTTTACTTACAAACAGTAGATGAAATTCATTGATTTCAGAATTCTCCATTATTATGATTACAACAAAAAATCACATCTCTAGTCATTACAGTCGCCTTTACTGGCTACCTGCTCTTATCCATTAGTCCTTTAAATCGAGGGTCTACATTGAATGGATGGAACATTTGTTTGTGCATATTGATAGAGGGAAAAGTACCCAAGAACTGGTAGAGAGCATGTATTTGTGTAATAGAAAAGGGGACAAAAGAATGTAAAATTCAGAGGAAAATAAGAATGCAGAGTATAGAGTACAGCGCGGGGTGCCCATGGCCTGGTGGCAAACGCTCTCGCTTCACACAGTGAGGGTCCGGGTTCAGTTCCTGGCAAAGGGGTGAAAACATTGGGCGTGTTTCCTTTCACCGGTTGTCTGTATTCACCCGTCAGTAAAATGGGTACCTGAGTGTTAGTTGACTGGTGTGGGTCGCATCCTGGGACAACACTGACCTAATTAGCCTTAAATGCTCTGCTTAAGAAACGGCTTTCTATATAGTAGTACAGTGGACCCCCGCATAACGATCACCTCCGAATGCGACCAATTATGTAAGTGTATTTATGTAAGTGCGTTTGTACGTGTATGTTTGGGGCTCTGAAATGGACTAATCTACTTCACAATATTCCTTACGGGAACAAATTCGGTCAGTACTGGCACCTGAACATACTTCTGGAGTGAAAAAATATCGTTAATCGGGGGTCCACTGTATATGCCGTTGAAATCAGCTAGGCCTGTATACCTTGTATATGTACTTGTAAATAAAGATATTATAGTATTATGGGGGAGCGCTAAACCCGTAGGAATTATACAGTACCTGTAGGAGGTGGAGGATGGAAGGTATTCAGGCTCAATTCAGGGAACTGGAGCACAGATCCAATTCCCTAGATCACAAGCCCCTCACTAGTGTCAAGGAACCTCCCTTGAGGGGAGCAAAGTGTATAGCAAAATTGATAGATATGAAATTTTATAAGCTCCTGCAAATTCTTGACCATCCAAGTTGTGTTGCCTGTGTTAGACTGCATGTCATAATTTTTTATTTGTGTTGATTATTTGTATGTGCAGCATAAACATTTTCACTTTTCTCATAAAATCATAACATGATTACAACAAATCACTTTATTAATTGCAGTGTCCATTTGTGAACTGATAAATCATACTGAATTAACTGTGTGCTTTTGTATATGATGATTTCATTTACAATATTAATTATAATATAAGACATATGTTAAATATTTAAATGGCCATATCTGTTTAGATTACTAACAGTGTTTTAAATGTTGATCATTATCTCATTGAGTTTCTTGTCACCCAGATGAGGATGACTCCTGAAGAGAAATACAGGCTTATTTCTCGAAGGTTAGATGAAGTGCTTGGTGAGGATCGTATTATGGCCATCTTGAAGGAAAGGTCCTTAAAAGTTTATTGGGGCACTGCAACTACTGGGAAGCCACATGTTGCATACTTTGTTCCCATGACGAAAATTGCTGACTTTTTGAAGGCTGAGTGTGAAGTGAGTTGTTTATATACCGGTTTTATTATTGTGAAGTATTGTCTGTTTACTTTGATTTTACTAATTTTGGTTTAACAGTTATAACTTTCACATGCAAGATAGCTTTCCCAAACAAATTTTATTCCTTAATGCATTTTCTTTAATATTTTCACAATACATGAAGATCTCAGAAATGACATCATCACTGCTTCTAAACTCCTCTGCACTGCAAAATAAAAATCCATTCTTTACACACATTCAAGGCATCAGTACCACACAAGCGTACGTGAGTATGTTAGGGGTGAATGGAGACGAGTGGTTTTTGGGACCTGACGAGTTGTTGAGGTGTGAGCAGGGTAATATTTTGTGAAGGGATTCAGAGAAACTGGTTAGCTGGGCTTGAGTCCCAGGAGTGGAAAGTACACTGCCTGCACTTTAAAGGAGGGGTTTGGGATATTGGCAGTTTGGAGGGACTTCTAAACTGTCGTATCTCAGTGCCTCTGCAAAGACAAGGATTACATTTGAATGATGGTGAAAGTGTTGAATGATAATGAAATTTTTTCTTTCTTTTTGGGTTTTTCTTTCTTTTTGGGTCACCCTGTCTCAGTAGGAAACGGCTGATGTGTTAAAAAAAAACAAAAAATATATAGTATATATGTATGTATCCTCCATGGGGAAGTGGAACGGAATTCTTCCTCCGTAAGCCATGCATGTCGCAAGAGGCGACTAAAATGAAGGGAGCATGGGGCTAGTAACCCCTTCTCCCGTATAAATTACTAAATTTAAAAAGAAACTTTTGTTTTTTTCTTTTTGAGCCACTCTGCCTTGGTGGGATACGGCCGGTTTGTTGAAAAAAAAAATATGTATGTATGTTTGCGTGCATGAGCGTGTTAGCTAGGAGTGAATGGAGACAAATGATACTTGGGACCTGACGATCTGTTGGAGTGTGAGCAGGGTAATATTTAGTGAAGGGATTCAGGGAAACCGGTTATTTTCATATAGTCGGACTTGAGTCCTGGAAATGGGAAGTACAATGCCTGCACTTTAAAGGAGTGGTTTGGGATGTTGGCAGTTTGGAGGGATATGTTGTGTATCTTTATACGTATATGCTTCTAAACTGTTGTATTCTGAGCACCTCTGCAAAAGCAGTGATAATGTGTGAGTGTGGTGAAAGTGTTGAATGATGATGAAAGTATTTTTTTTTGGGGGATTATCTTTCTTTTTTGGGTCACCCTGCCTCGGTGGGAGACGACCGACTTGTTGAAAATATATATATATATATATATATATATATATATATATATACAGGAGGGCCCCGCTTTACGGCGTTTCGCTTTACGGCGTTCCGCTAATACGGACATTTCAAATTATGACCAAAAACTCGCTATACAGCTCCCCCCACCTGTCTTTCTAATACGGTCACAGCAGCCCACCGAGTTTGTTTACATTCTCCCTGAGCACATCTCCTTATTATGTCTGGAAACTTTCCAAAATTTCAAGTGTTTTAAAGTTATTGTATATTTTATATGTATTGTACTTGATAATTAAACTTGTGTACACCTGTACCTAAATAAACTTACACACTGTGCTGGCATGTAGGTACACATTAAAATCACTAAGAGTCTCTCTACTCTTGATGCAATAATAATAATAATAATAGTAATAATAATAATCTCTTGGGCTCATTAATGTCGCATATTACGTTAATATAGACATTTCCCTTAATCTATCTATGATATTTTTTTCAAAATTATATAAGAAACACATTATGTAACACACAAACATGATACATGCACCCACAGTATAAAAATTTATACAAATATATATAAGATGTTTACCAAACGGTTTGTAGAAGTGTCGGAAGAATTACGTTTTCTCTAGCCCGTCACCTGTTACTAGGGATAACTGTAGAAAAATATTCCTTTCGTATGCCTTCACTTTATAGCTATAATTCTGTACTAACTTGTACACAGTGTAAGAGTATTTGTTTCGTGATTTAATTATTATTATTTTTTTATTATCACACCGGCCGATTCCCACCAAGGCAGGGTGGCCCGAAAAAGAAAAACTTTCACCATCATTCACTCCATCACTGTCTTGCCAGAAGGGTGCTTTACACTACAGTTTTTAAACTGCAACATTAACACCCCTCCTTCAGAGTGCAGGCACTGTACTTCCCATCTCCAGGACTCAAGTCCGGCCTGCCGGTTTCCCTGAATCCCTTCATAAATGTTACTTTGCTCACACTCCAACAGCACGTCAAAGTAATTAAAAACCATTTGTCTCCATTCACACCTCAAACACGCTCACGCATGCCTGTGGAAGTCCAAGC